TGGGAAACTGACTAACATTATTCTGGCAAGAATAAAATTTTTTGCATCAATAGTTGGATTTAGGCCCTAAAATTTAGGCCCCTAAATCCTCTGTTGACTTTCCCTAATTTAGTACATTTTTTAAAAGATAGGAACATTCTCTGTTACTACAATAAATGGAAGTTTTGCTTAATCAATTGGAATTTTTATAAATGTACAGTAGAGAGAAGGAAACCTCAACAAATAAGGCTTGGAGAACCAAAAATCAAAATGAAACCATTGCTGCAGGGACTCCAAATCATAGGGGCCCAATTAAAGTCATTGCTGTGGAGTTAGAACTGACCCCTAACTGATCCTCTAGTGAGTTTTCCAAGACTGAAAATTACACAAGAGAAGACTGCCCCTTTTTCTCCCATGGAGCAGCTGGTGGATTTGAACTGCCTGTCTTTGCCATGCAGTACAACTCCTTACCCACTGGACCACCAGTGGGTGGTCCCTAAAGGTATCTTCTAGGGCAGAATAAAATCATCCTTCAATTTTAACAGAAGGAGACTCCTATACTTTTCTCTTGTGGAGCAGCTGATGGGTTCAAATGGTCAACTTCTCAGTTAGCTGTCAACTACTTAAGTCACTGTACCACCAAAACCTCCTTATCTTGAAGAATAACACAACTGTGAGAAGGATGGCACATGCAGGGTGGGGTAAAGAAGAACACAATTCTAAGACTTATAGATGTGATCCAAGTAGCTTGTTTAAATTATGGTAAATGGTAAAAGAGAACACACAAAGAGAAATGTATAGTGTTAATTATACTAATCCTAAAGAAAAGAATAGAAAGTATTTTACTAACCCATTTACTATCCAGAAGATGGAGAGTCTTTAAAGATAAAAACAAACACAAACTATGTGAAAGTCACCTTAAAAACATTGCATAGCAGAGTGCATTTTTCTTGGGTAAATGCCAACATATAAGAACAGAGTGCAAATTTGGAAAGATAATGGTGATGGTTGAATAACAAATGACCATAATCAATGCCATTGAATTACAAAGGTAAAAAGTGATGAAACAATAAATGTTTTCACTATATACACGTGCACACACATTTAAAACTAAAAAAAAAAAATTAGCTAAGTGCAAGCAAGATTAAAAAGAAATCTACTAAACCATTCAAATGGCAGAGTCAGAAATATAAAGTTAAAAACAAAACAAAATTATAACCAAGTCATTAAAGGGGGAAAGTTATCCCTTCTCCTCCCCTTCCCCCAGACAATACAATAGCTGATTGATTACAAATGGCTTTTTCCCATTAGATTGGAAACATCAAAACTGGAAAGATCAAATATAGCCATTCTTTCAAAATTTAATGTCATACTTCTCAGCAAATGTCAAGAGGAAATTTTTTGGTTCAGAGGTAACATCATACAGTTTAAAAAAAAATCCATGTGTCTAAAAAAATAAATGTAAAATCCAGAAGATATTTAGTTTATGAGAACAAAATGTATTTTATTTACAGACAGACAATGTAATAACATGACATATTTTTATAACATACAAATCAAGAAATACACTTAAAAGTTGTTCCCACCCTCCCCATCCCCACAAAGCATCTATTGGCATATTCTAAAAAGCAAAGCTTCTTCATGCAAATATCCACCAGAAGAAACTACCACCTGTTCCTAGTGATGAAACAGGACAGTGAGAGAAGTGGAAAGGTGACTAAAACACTAGGCAGGGAGGTGCTCTACAACTACTGGCATGCAGTGACCATCAAGCAGGTGAACAGAATCACAGGCAGAGGCTGTCAGCTAGAACCCTGAAAGGGGCTGAATGCTCCAAGCAGAAAGCCCAACTTCCTGGTGCGTTTCAGTAAGAATTGCCTGGTGTGATAGAATTCTACCACCAAAAGAACTAAGGTTTGTAACAAAGGAAACTCTCCAGAACAAAACAGCAGGTATACATAATACGTTAAAATTATTTTAAAAGTGAAAACTCTATGTATTACTGTTTAGACTAAAATAAGTTTGCTATTTACACTAAAACCTTATTAAGTAGTGCTTTTTATTGAAACTAGTTTGTTTCACAAGCTAATTTTAGTAGGTTGTCGCAAAAATAATTCAGGATTTTGGTTGCTTGATCTTTGTGCAATAATTTGCCTTGTTAGAAAATACTAAATGTTATAAATCATCTTAAAGCTCATTTTATGCTCATTCATTCTGTGCAATTGGTTTTAAATGTAAATGCTTTTTCTTTCTTTTGAGGATATAGAACATAAGAGGTCAAGACAAGATTTTTGTCAAATTTATTTCTATGAATTTAAACTTGGCTCCAGTGCAGCACAGACTGTTTAAAATATCAACAGAAAAGTGTCAATGAATGCACAGTTCAATGTTTGTTGCAAAAATTCCACGACAGTGAATTCAAGAATAAGAAAGGTAATGGCATGCCATGATTAAAAGACAAGGACCAGTTGTCATTATCGTGTCAGCATTCATTCAAGCAAATCACCTCAAAACCACAGCAGATGCAGAACTTCATGTCCATCATCCTATGGCTAGTTGCTTGTTACTCAAGAGCAAATGCGGAAAGTGAAAAAGTTTGGCAGATGGGTATTGCACGCATTGAACAACAACAATAAAAAAATCAATCACTGCTTTGCATTCTGCTCTGTGCTCCTTTTGTGCTATTAAAAAAAAAATATATCCATTTCTTAACTGCATTGTAAAATGTGATGAAAACTTGATCCTCTGTGACAACCAACAACATTCAGCACAGAGGCTGGATTGAGGTGAAGCAGAAAAAAAAAAAAAAAAAGAAGGAAAAAAACCAACCACACACCAAAAACCAACAATAGCCCAAACCAAAGGTCGTGGTGACTTGTGGTCTGCAGTTGGATTAATCCATTGGCACTTCTTGAATCTGGGTGAAACCATTAAAGAAGAAGAGAATTAACTGCATGAAAATCTACAATGTCTGCATCCAGTCATGGTCAAAAGAAAATGTCCAATCTTTCTGCAAAATAATACTCAACCACATCTTGTACAACCAGTGTTTTAAAAGCTTGACAACTTGGGCTACAAAATCCAGTCTCATCCAGCACACTCACCAGACCTCTCACCAACCGACTACTACATCTCTAAGCACCTCAAGAAGTTTTTGCAAGAGAAGCTCTTCTGCAACCAAAATGTCGCTGAAAACTAATGCTAACAGAATAAAGTAACGTATACCTTGTTGACAAAAATGTATAGACTATAATGGGTCTTATTTTAATAAAATTAAGTTTGAGCAAAGTTACAGAATTTCAAATTTGAGCATTAAAATCTGCATTTTTTTTGCGACAATCTAATCTCTTTAACTACTAATTAAAGAGTATTTTCATGATTCATAACTCAAACACAGGACACATCCAAAAAGAGACCGATTTTCTATTTTATTTTTGTGAAAAGAAAGTGCTAATTCTAAATTAAGAGAGTGTGTGTGTGTGTGTGTGTCTCAATGGAAGGAGATAGAGAAAAAGAGATTCAAATTAATTAAGATCATTAACTGCCATATAAGGCAGCTTTGCTTTGGCGGAAGTAATACTTTTATATGTGTTAGACAAACAAGGTTCTTATATTTGGTTTTTTTCTAGCAGAGTTCTAAAATCAAATACACCATTGCTAATATTTCCATCAATAAAATCTTAAAAACTATAAAGAGCTAATTTTGATGGAGAAATGATGATAAAGTCTCAGTCAAATTAGTGTTTTTATTTAAATATAACCCTAAGGTTATGATTTGTGATTACTATAGATTCTTGATACATACAAGACTTTCGCTTGCCAGGGAGACACATTTTTGGTGTTTCTTGGTAATATTTTAAAGTTTATGTTTACTTCCTATTAATGAACAAGGGAAAGGAAGCATGTTAAAATGAGAAAAAGAAGTGATTATCATCACTATATATGGCTGCTTTCATGATACAGTAGAAGAGTTTAGTTGGCAGACTGTGTGGCCCACAAAGTCATTTACAGAATGTGTGTGGACACTATGCTATAACTTTTAAGACCTAATATGGAACATTTCTACATTAGTGTTTAAGTTAAAAATGTTCATTTTGCCTCACTTAGTATTTGACATATACCTATTAAAGTGATCTTTATCTGAGTACCTAGTGAAGTTTAGCTTCAGTTGCTGTGTTCACGGAGGTTTCCCCATGTACAAACCATTACACAGGGAAGAAGCAGTGAAGGTTAGCTTTAGATTAGCAGACTATTCCTATAAGATTTGTTGCCTATTTTTCTTACATTCTATAAAATTACCATTTCGGAGTCACTGTGAGAGGCCTGACCCAGGCTGGGTACAGGCCCTAACTCAGAGTGAGAAGCTCGGTCAAGGGAGAGAAGGGGCTCAATAATGTCATCGTAATCATCTTCCTCTGTATCCCCCTCCCCATCGGCAAAAGTACCTCTAGTCAAGAAATCGGAGCGCGTCCGCGCCATTCGAGCTTTCTTTTTATGGGCCGGTCTGGCAACCTGCTTGACCAAATGATAAAACAAATAACACAACAATGTTTTGTTTTTTAATGGAGATGATGCCAACAAAAGGCATCCATCAGAGGGCTCATAAATTTCTTGAAACATCCCTCCACCCCATCAAGCCTCTTCTTCTACCAGGTGTGACAAGGATAACCAAAAGGAAGCCACAGACATTACTCTGGACAAAGGTTAAAAACAGACATTAAATCTATTCTGTTTCATCCACAAAGACTACTTCTTTATTGCCACAATTTATCATCAAAGTCACTTGCATAAATTGCCTTCTTTTTCTTAGCAACTTATTATTAACATACATAACCTGGGTTCGTCAGCACCATTCTCTGCCTGGAGTTCACCACCTTAATTTTAACAGGCTTAGCTCACGGCTTCTTTCTTTATTAAACACTTGGTGAGTAAATGAGGTATTTTAACTACTAGAACAACAATTTCCAAATCAACATGCATCTATTCACATAGAAGGCAGACAAACAAGATCCAATACTTACCTCTCTTTGGCCCGGCCCAGCTAACTTCGCAGGCTTACAAGTTGGTTCATCTTGTTTATGGTGGTGAGGATTTCCACACTTTAAGGATTCCTTGCTGGCACTTTAGATGAGACAATAGGATATTATTTCAATTATGAGCAGAGATCTCCTGACAGCTAGTCTTTAAGAACAAGATGAAAAACAGTCTAACAAGGTCAAAGAATTCCAGTATATGACATAAAAATGTCAAGATATTGTTCAATTAACTTGAAAGTATGGAAAAATTTTCTGTTTAAATAGCTAAAACAATATTGGAAAAGAAGAATAAAGAAGGAAGACTTCTAAAACATACTCTGTTTTAAAACAAAGGGGGAGGACTCCTGATTTTAAAGGTTATAGTAATCAAAACAGCCTGGCAAGTGAAAAACAAAAAAACTAATCAATATTCTTTGCAGCACAATTCGCAATGGACAAAGGTTGAAACAATTTAGATGATCATATACAAAAGAATGGACAAACAGAATGTCGGAAATTAAGCTAAGTAAATGAAACCAATCATAAAAGGATAAACACTGCATGATTTAAAGTATATAAAATATAAGAAAAGGCAAATGTATAGAGGCCAAAGTTTATCAGTTATTATTAGAAGGAGGAAGAGAGGAGAGGGGTTAGCATGATGGGGAAGCTGCACTCATTAAGAGTATCAATAAGTTATATACCTGGAAAAACTGAAATAGGAAAAGTTGCATGGTAGTATATTCACAATAATAAAGAAAAATAATGTAGCCTACTTATGGACAAATACTTCCTGGGATTTAGTTCCTTGGTTTGGAGGTTTAGGTTCATGGTTTCATGGGACATGCCACTTATTTGGCCTAATATGAGTCCAGAGCTTCAATTTAACTAATAGTTCAATGCACCCTTGGGAGTGTGAAAGCCTCCTAGTGGCCATCTTAGACACAACTGGCTTCTACTCCTCTGGAACAGAGGAACAAGGAGAGTCAAGAATAAGAGGCAGATAAACAGCCTCCATAGATTACTGTGTCCTTTGTCATGAGATCAGAACTGGATGGTTCCCTGCAACCATTGCTGAACATTTTGTTCAAAGATTACATAGGGTAACTCATCAAAAAGGGAGAAAATGCAGAATAGATTTTCAAATTCTCATGGATTCTAGATCTTCTGGAGTCATTGAGGGTAGATGCATCCCTGGAATTATTGCCCTGAGATCATCTTTAAACCCTAAACAAATCCCCTGAAATTCTCTTAAAATGAAACAATAATTTTGCTTAACTAGTCAAAGGGGAAAAAAAGTGTGCCTTGAGCACTATGCTCTTTTAAGAACTTATCTTTTTAGAATCAAACTAAATATAGCAATTCAGAAGACAGGATAGAAAACATTAGGGGGTTGTTTTTGTTGTTGTTATGTGCCATTGAGTCACCTGCGACTCACAGTGACCCTATGTACAACAGCCCTAAAATCTATCCTGTGCCAATATTGCCTCTGACACACCTATCCCAATTATCCCAGTCACTGAATCAATCCATCTCATCGAGGGTCTTCCTCTTCTGCACTATCCTCTCCACCCTCCCAAGCATGATGTCCCTCTCCAAGGGCTGGTACCTCCTTGCAACATGTCCAAATCATGTCAGACAAAGCTTCAGAATCCTTGCCTCTAAGGAGCAGCCTGGCTTCACCCTCTCCTAGTAGTTCACCCTCTCTTAGTAGTCCATGGTATATTCACTACTCTTCTCCAACACCACAGCTCAAAGGTATCAATTCTCCTTTTATCATCCCTAGTCATTGTCCAGCTCTCTGATGCATAGCAAGTGATTGCAAAGACAATGGTCTGTATCAGGCAGACCTTAGTCTCCAGACTAGTATCACTGTTCTTCAGTACATTGGAGAGGTTTCTAATAGCAGACTTTCCCAACGTAATATGTCTTTTAATTTCCTGGCTGCTGGTGCCAAAAGCGTTGATTGTGGAGCCAAGCAAACTAAAGCTGTTTACAATCTCAATCTCTTCACCATCCATCATAATGCTATCAATCAGCCCAGTGGTGAGAATCTTTGTTTTCTTGAAACTGAACTTCAACCCATATTGAAGGCTACAGTCCTTGACCTTCTGCAGTAAGTGCTTCAAGACCTCCTCAGTTTCGGCAAGCAGGGTTGTGTCATCTGCGTAACACAGATTATTGATGAGACTTCCTCCAATCCTGATGTCACATTTCTCCTCATGGAGCCCAGCCTCTCAGATAATCTGTTTTGCATAAAAGATTGAAAAGGTATGGAGATAGGACACATCCCTGCCATACACCCTTCCCAATTTTGAACCATGCAGTGTTTCCTTGCTCTGTTCTGATGACTGCCTCTTGGTCCAAGTATAAGTTTCACATTAGCACCATCAAGGGTCCTGGGATTCCCATTCTTCTTCGAGTTAGCCACAGTTTGTTGTGATCCACACAGTAAAACACCTTTGCATAATCAGGGAAATAAAATAAAGGAAAAAGACTTTCTTCAGAACCATCTGAAATAAGCCTTCCCTGATATTACTACTTTGTAATTTGAACTCACAGACCCTTAAACTCAAGAGACACTGACCACAGCATAAGAAATTGGCAGCAGCTTGAAACATTTGGAATCACAGAAGCCCATAAAGCTTGGGATATAACCTATCAGATTAAGGGATGGATACCGGGAGATAGGTGTTGAAGGGAGTAGGTGGGAGAAGAAAATGCTGGTGGAGCAGGGAATTGGGTGGGTCAAGACACTTGTGTCAAGGGCAGAGACAACAACACTGAAACTACTGGTTTCATACTACTGGGAAATAACTTTTATCTGCATTTTTCCGTAAAATGCTTGTCTGTCAGATACTTTTCTAAATGTGAGCATTCAGATTAAGACAGACTAGGAAGGAGGATTGGCCATCCACTTCTGAATTAGCAGGCCTTCGAAAACCCTATGTACAACAGAACACACTTAGACTAGCAGATAAGGCAACAGAGGTGGTGGAGCTTTCAAGTATGGAAATACTAAGGAAGAGGAACAATTTTAAGCAGACACTGGAACATGGAATGTGAGAACTGTGAACGTAGGAAAATTAGATATTGTTAGGGAAGAAATGGAACGCATAAAGATTGACTCTGACATGAGATGGACTGGCATGGGACATTCTGAATCATGATATGATCTACTATGCTGGAGATGAAAAGGTGAGGAAAAAAGGGGTTGCTGTTATTATTAAAAAAATCATTTCTAGATGCATCTTGAAATACAATATTGTGAGTGACAGGATAATATCCATATGCATACAAGGAAGTCCAGTAAATACCATGATCGTTCAAATATATGCACCAACAACCAGAGCCAAAGAAGAGGAAATAGAAGATTTCTACCAACTTTTACAGTCAGATCGACTGAACATGCAATCAAGATTAGGGGGTAGTGAGTTGATTAAAGAAAGAGGAACAACTTTGAAAAGGAGGGTAACTTGAAGAACGTAATCAATGACAATAAACAGTACATATAGAATTTGTTAATATAATGCTTATTTTCTGTGAATTATCTCAAGAACAACAATAAAAACAAAATTGGAAAAATTTTCTGCTTATCTAATCAATCCTAATAGTAAGAATCTGCATGTATAAGTGAATTGCTCTGAAGCCCTGCATAGACCAAAAATCAGTACTAGAAGGAAAATAAACTATAAGTAGGCCAAAAGAAGTTATAAACAAAACCATACACATGATAAAGTATGCTGTTGTTATTGTTATGTGCTGTCGAGTCATTTGCGACTCTTAGCGACCCTATATACAACAGCCCTAAACCCTGCTCTATCCTGTGTCAATCGCACTGCCTCCGACACACCCATACTGATTACCCCAGTCACTGAATCAATCCACTTCATAGAGGGTCTTCCCCTCCTGCACTGTCCCTCCACCCTACCAAGCATGATGTCCCTCTCCAATGACCTATCCCTCCTTACAACATGTCCAAAGTATGTCAGATGAAGCCCCAGAATCCTTGCCTCCAAGGAGCAGCCTGGTTTAACCCTCTCGAGGATGAATCTGTTTGTTTTCTTGGCAGTCCAGGGTACATTCAATACTCTTCTTCAGCAGCACGGCTCAAAGGCATCAATTCTTCTATCCTCCCTAGTCATTGTCCAACTCTCTGATGTATAACATGTGATTGCAAAGACCATGGCCTGTATCAGGCGTACCTTAGTCTCCAAAGAGACACCGTTGTTCTTGAGTACTTTAGAGAGGTCCCTAACAGCAGACTTGATAAAGTATAGCTTGTAAAAATTAAATTATGCTTGAATAACTACCTTATTTGACTTCTTCAATCATTAAATTCAATGCCAAAATAGATGTCAGGATCTGAAGAAAACCTGAACTGAACCTGTACTTTGATAGCCTGAATTACTCAAGTCTTAAAATTTAAAAACATAATCTCGCCTCAATGAGATTGTTAGAGTTGCCTAAGAATCTTATCTTACCACTTGACATAGGGCTGAGTCCAAAGTAGATATTAACAACTGGTAGAATAATTGCTCTTCCAAAGCTTTCAATTTTTATAACTTAACACCTAGGATTCATAAAAATTATATTGCTCTTTGCTCCATACACAGTAATTTTTTTTTGTGGGTTTTCAGAGGGTCACCACTCTCTCAGGCAAATGACAATGAGAGATGGTAAAGCCTCTGCTTTTATTAGCAGAAAAATCAAAGCTTACAGTAAATCATGATCTCATAGGGTAGGCAAATGTTTAACAAAGCATAGGTAATATGAAACAAAGCATAGATAGGCATGGATAATTTTCAAGAAAACGTCTTTGTACTCATGAACACAGTCTTACTGCCCTCTTAACAACCTTATCAAGAACTTTAGAAAATAGTCTTTGTCTAACAGAGAGATCTCTTTCATGTTGGTGCATGCTCCAGGGAGTATGAGACTGCTTTCAGTCCCATCCACTCTTGGTATTGTTTGCCTGCTTTTAGGCATTGTAGCCAAGGCCTTTTGCATGTATTCTATAGCCGCTAGTAACCCTGTGAGTTTCAGAATGACTCTACATGGATAATCTGAATAATCATGATCACAGTCATAGCCATCTTTATCACT